TCTCGCCTCTTCCACATCCATATACCTACGCATACATGCTCGTCGGTGATGGGTACTCTTAATTTGGCCTATTTTTAGTATATCGCCAATTTCGTCGACAAACTTCCGCCTAGGACGTCCCTTTCCGACTCTTCCATTCACTTCTGCAACATATATTTGCTTTATCAGTCTTTCCGCATTTATTCTCTCTACATGACCAAACCACCGAAGCATTCCTTTCTTAATCCTGCTAACCGCATCATCTTGCAAACCACACTCTTCTTTTATCACACAGTTTCTCACCCTGTCACTCAGATTCAGCCCTAACATACTCCTTAGCGACCGCATTTTATTCTACTCTCGTGCTTCTTCTGCCACACCCAACTTACACTACCATACGTTAAAGTAGGGACTAATACAGCATTGTGAATTGCCACACGTGCCTTTTTTGACACATTCTGACTTTTCATAATAGAGTGTAGAGCCCCACTTACTTTATTTCCTGCACTCACTCGTCGTTCAATATCCTTATCATATCTCCCATCCCTGCTGAATACACATCCCAAATATACGAACTCATCCACTTGCTCAATTAACTCTCCTTCTATTCTTATTTCACATACCGTTTGCTTTCTTCTCTTTCAAAAACCATCACTTTCGTCTTACTTGCGTTCACTTTCATTCCCTTTTCTTTTAATGACCTGTTCATTAATGTAACCATCATTTGCAACTCGGCCGCCGACGACGCAAGTATGACTTGATCATCGGCGTACAAAAGGCATTTGATGGTTAACTCACCCATTCTTAATCCGCATTCTTCAACTTTCAAATTTTCCAAACAGCTGTCCATAAATAGGTGAACATTCACGGGGAAGCTACACAGCCCTGTCTGACACCTTTATGGATGCCAAACCAGTCCGAGTAGACCCCGTTGATTCTAACACAAACACTCGAGTCCTTATACAGAGACTTTAATGCCTGTATCAAACCAGCGCTCATCCTAAATGCGTTCAGCGTTTGCCATAACACATCCCTGTCCACTCTGTCATAAGCCTTTTCCAAGTTCATGAACGCACATAAAACTTTTTGGTTTTTCGCCAAAAACTTCTCCGCATTCATGCGCGCATGGAAAAGACTTGATCTGTACACCCCATTCCCTTTCTGAATTCCGCTTGCACATCCCAAATTTTTTCATCAGTTTCTTTCATAACTCTTTCAATTAGTACCTTAGCATACAGTTTTCTCACAATGCTAAGAAGGCTGATACCACGGTAGTTTTTACAGTCCTGCTGTGACCTTTTTCCCTTATATATTGGGATTATCACGGCTTTGCACCAGTCTCCCGGTACCCGCTTTAGTTCCCAACATAAATTAAACGAGGTGTACAGCAGGCCTGCCACCACGTCCTCTCCAGCCCTTAGCATTTCGAGTGAAACTCTATCATATCCGGCTGCCTAACCTACTTTCATGCTTTTCATTGCTTTCGTTATTTCATCTATACTTATCTCCCTATCTCTTTCATCTTCTTTCGGAATTTCTATTTCATTTAGTTCACACTTCTCCTCACTCATAAATACGCTTTCAAAATATTCCTTCCAACTCTTTAGACTCAACACTTCATCATTCAGGATACAGCCATTCTCGTCTCGTATCGCATTCAATCTAGGCTGTTTTGAATGTCCCCTGGTATTTCTTACGAGTATCATTCTTATCCGTTCTTTCTTGCTTTTTCCTTTCAACTAATTCTTTTACTCTCTTATTTAGACGTTTAAACTCTGCCTTTTTTCTTTCATTCTCATCATTCTTACCGCCAGAATTACCAGCTTTGGTCGCTAGTAAATCTAGCCATGCTCTCTTCTTTGCTTCAACTTCCATACGTACCTCATCATCCCACTATAACGTATTGTCTTTCCTTTCATTCGTTCTCTTACTAACACCACATACTTCGGTAGCTGCATCCACTAAACCTTTCTTAACATTATGCCACACATTCTCCAAGTCTAACTCTTTCACACACACAACTCATCCAAATTACTTATATTTTCTCTCAGTCTGCATTTGTACTTGTCTTTCACATCTTCATCTTGTAACCTTAATTCTTATACGCTGTAACGCAGTGGTAGACACAGATGTCCTATGCCGCCAACGTCTGAATAAACCCCTAATTCGGCGTAAGACCAGGTAGTGGTCCGTCCCTACGTTGGACCCCCCGGTAAACCCTTGTATCCACCACTGCGCTCCTCATTCTTTCATCCACAGTTATGAAATCTATCATGCTTCTATCATCACCTCTTTCCCAAGTATACATGTGAATCTTCTTATGACGAAAGAAAGTATTCGTCACAAAAAGATTCCTTTCCACACATACGGTGAGGAGACTTTCACCATTCTCATTAATACTTTCATCACCAAACGTTCCCAGTATCCCTTCAAAGCCAAGCTACCTTACCTCAACCCTTCCATTAAAATCTCCTAACATAACAATATTTTCATTTTCCTTACATTTCATTAACACCATCTTTACCATCTCCCAAAACTGCTCTCGAATACAAGTGGGCTTAGACATGTCTGGGGCGTAGACCCCTAGAACAAACAACTTCTTTAGGCCCACTTTTATTCGTATCCATAGCAGTCTCGGGCTTACACATTCATACTCTTTCACACATTGACCCATTCTTTCTGAAATGATGATACCGACTCCCTGGTATGCTCGCTCGGTCTCGTCTACACCGGACCAGTAAGCGGTATATATGCCGTGTGTTGTGACATCCTTTCCCTTCCGCTTCGTCTCATTTACACATAATACATCTATTCCTCTATCATACATCATATCGCATACTTCATCCATCTTATCATTCATTGCTCCACATACATTCAGCGTAGCTAGACGGGCCTCCGCAATCCTCTTTTCGCCCCTCCCCTCATGTATTGTATTGTTTGTAAATATCTCAAGCAAACCCAAACGGCTCTTTTCAAAACCACGAAGGTGTGCAATTGCATGTCATACAATCTATCTAGCGGTAGTATGCTTTCTGTGTGCTTTGTAAACACGTCCTTGTCAGCATTGAATATGAAACTAAAGAGTGGAGACAGCTCAAGATTGGTGTATTTTTATTAAACTGCTAAAAACAACAAAACCATATCTTGGGTTTGCCCTAGTTTGGAGCCCTAGCTTCGCCACTGATGGACAGCCTCGTTTCCAGTAAAAAGGGATCTCCGAATCTCTACACTCACACTCGGTATTTTGTGACAAGTTTTATTGTACGGTTAAATAATCAAACCGGCCAAGTGCGAGTCGGACTCAAATTTTTTTGCGAATATAGCAATACAAACTGAGCATTTTAGGAATCTGCTTGTTGCCATTATTAAAAACGAGCAAAAAAAGACAAAATAAATACACGTTTCTAATAAGAGGAGCCCCCTTTAATTATTATTATTATTTATTGTTATTGCGGCAACAGAAACACACACATTCTGTGAAAATTTCAATTGTCGACCAATAGGTAATCCATAATATGGACGGACAGTGCAGGCTTAGTAATCTCGTTAGTTCCCTTCTGGTATGGAACTCCAAGAATAAAGTGAAACACCTTCGGTTTGCAAATATGTATTTCCACATACTACCTACCATATCAAATAGTACAAATCATTTAAAACCATGTTCCATGTTTTACATGAGTATTGACATATAATTAAAATTAAATAAAATACGTGTATTCTAAACGTAAATATCCTATAACACAAATGGAATGACGAACTTAAAGCTCTGAGTGCTGACTAAAACAATTGGTATTGTTATCAACCAAACTACGTCTATTTAATTAATTAATTTTCTGCGAAGTGGTATGTCGACGTTATGATGTCAATTTAAGTTATGAACTCATAGATCATTTATTTTGTAGACGTTTATATCTATATTTTAATAAATAAATACCTAAATATATAATAAAAGGAGGGATGAACACAAAAATTATGTGTGTGTGCATTGCATCTGATGTGTGTAGTAAGCATTTGATCAAGCTCGAGGCTCTATACGCTGTGTAATAAGTCAAATTTCGACCAATGCTATTAAAATAACAAATTAAAAACTAAACATGAAACATTATTCAGAAACTTTCTACCAATCGTTATAATCACAACTACTTTGTCAAGAAGGAAATTTCTTTTTATCTAGTCTTATCAAATCTAATGTGTTCATTTATGACAGTGTCAGTATAGAAAGTTGCAATTATAAAGGTTGATAATAAATCTTACAGATACAATTTGTGCCGATTGCTTCATTATTTGATGTACATAAGTAACAGTTGCACCCGTCATGTTTCATCAAAATAGGCCTGGGAAATCCGATAAATTGTAACATCCATTGAGTTCATTTTTGGACTTGAAATAAATTTAATTTTAACATTAATTTTATGCTGATTTCGTAAGGTTTTCATCAAAAAATATGCAAAATCTTACGCCGCCGCCTTTTACAGTTTTCTTCATTCTGTATGAACCACCGTAATGGAATTAGCACTAAAGTAATTTAACTTAATTCCCTATTTTTAAAATTATCTTAGGGTAAGTACTAGCTTAGTCATGTTTAAAATTAATTATCTTAAAAATATACATTAAATATGGGGATTATATAAAAATAATTCACATTGGAAACTGAAGTAACAAATGAGAAAATAGTTATACTTAGGGAGGGTGGGCAGGTGTAAGAAGTGAAAGATTTTGCGTGAACCCGCCACATAATATGAAAACTGATCTCAGGTTGAAAAAAAAATGGGTCAATCCCGAACATTTATTAATTTATTTTTTCAATAAGAAACTATGATAAGATATTCACACATAACAGTATATTTTATAAATGTTAACAATAAAATGAAATAGTTCAATGAGAGGGGTTTATCTGTAAAAGTTATTTTTAAAACACTAAATAAACGAATCAGTTAAATTTTCTACAACCAGAGATCAAAAGTCAAAATAATAGGAGACCGTCGCCTGTTTGGTCGGTAGCGGGTGGTGTCCTCGCATCACTATTTCCACTTCTTGGCGGAGAAGAGCACGGCGCGCTGCTTCAAGAAGAGCGAGTAGCTCTGCTTGCGCAGCGCGCTGGCCGGCGCCGCGCTGTCGCCCTTGTTCTTCTTGTCGTTGGCGCGTCGGTTGCCGTCCACCATGGCCGACATGTACGTCGAGCGACGTCCGCGCCCTCTACCTGTAACGTTTTCAACGTTTTACATTTAATTTCAAGTGAATACTTAAATTATTATCAAAATAAACCCTAACATTTAATAAAGACTGACGCCTTTAGCACGCACTATACTGTTTTTAACAAATGTCGTTTTTGTATCAATAGCGTTAAACACAAACTGATAAAACTCGATATAGATGATGAACCCTCAACTTCAGTGGTGACGAATCCGTTCCACCACTTAAGCTATAAGGTCATAAAGGAATAAAAATACATACTTTCATATATTACATACATTCTAAAAATTATGCACCTTCTTTGGGACGCTTGGATATACGACTTAGTATAAATTATGTTAATTACGTATCTGTCTCGATACTGTAGACAAACGCAAGACGCGATAATTATTTTTATTGGAATACCAACCAACAAGCTGGATTACTTAAGATTATTATAATTTATAGTCGGCTAAGGTTGCTACTGCCGTTCACTGCAGTGCAACAGCAGACCTACACGTCCCTCGTGCCGCACGCAACATGGACCCACCTGCCCCCCTCCGCGTCCTCAGGACTCCTGCTTGACGTCAGAGGGACCCGGCTCGTCCCGCAGTTTAACAGCAGACCTACACGTCCCTCGTGCCGCACGCAACATGGACCCACCTGCCCCCCCCCCTCCGCGTCCTCAGGACTCCTGCTTGACGTCAGAGGGACCCGGCTCGTCCCGCAGTTTAACAGCAGACCTACACGTCCCTCGTGCCGCACGCAACATGGACCCACCTGCCCCCCTCCGCGTCCTCAGGACTCCTGCTTGACGTCAGAGGGCTCCGGCTCGTCCCGCAGTGCAACAGCAGACCTACACGTCCCTCGTGCCGCACGCAACATGGATCCACTTGCCCCCCCTCCGCGTTCTCAGGACTCCTGCTTGACGTCAGAGGGCACCGGCTCGTCCCGCAGTGCAACAGCAGACCTACTCGTCCCTTGTGCCGCACGCAACATGGACCCACCTGCCCCCCCCTCCGCGTCCTCAGGACTCCTGCTTGACGTCAGAGGGCTCCGGCTCGTCCCGCAGTGCAACAGCAGACCTACACGTCCCTCGTGCCGCACGCAACATGGACCCATCTGCACCCCCCACCCTCCCTCCGCGTCCTCAGGACTCCTGCTTGACGTCAGAGGGCCCCGGCTCGTCCCGCAGTGCAACAGCAGACCTACACGTCCCTCGTGCCGCACGCAACATGGACCCACCTGCCCCCCTCCGCGTCCTCAGGACTCCTGCTTGACGTCAGAGGGACCCGGCTCGTCCCGCAGTTTAACAGCAGACCTACACGTCCCTCGTGCCGCACGCAACATGGACCCACCTGCCCCCCCCCCTCCCTCCGCGTCCTCAGGACTCCTGCTTGACGTCAGAGGGCACCGGCTCGTCCCGCAGTTTAACAGCAGACCTACACGTCCCTCGTGCCGCACGCAACATGGACCCACCTGCCCCCCCCTCCGCGTCCTCAGGACTCCTGCTTGACGTCAGAGGGACCCGGCTCGTCCCGCAGTGCAACAGCAGATCTACACGTCCCTCGTGCCGCACGCAACATGGACCCACCTGCCCCCCCCCCTCCCTCCGCGTCCTCAGGACTCCTGCTTGACGTCGGAGGGCCCCGGCTCGTCCCGCAGTGCAACAGTAAACCTACTCGTTCCTCGTGCCGCACGCAACATGGACCCACCTGTCCCCTCTCCGCGTCCTCAGGACACCTGCTTGATGTCGGAGGGCCACGGCTCGCCCCGCAGTGCAACAGCAGACCTACACGTCCCTCGTGCCGCACGCAACATGGACCCACCTGCCCCCCCTCCGCGTCCTCAGGACTCCTGCTTGACGTCAGAGGGCCCCGGCTCATCGGGCTCGTCGCGCGGCAGCAGCTGGTCGTGCAGCGTGCGTAGGTGCCGCAGCAGGTTCGACTTCACGTTGAACCCCTTGTTGCACAGCCCGCACACGAACGGCCGCTCGCCTGCATTCGACACTTTCATATTTCACATTTATTTACCTTAAACTCAACAAAACATGCAAGGAAAATTGACATTTAAAATGCAGTCATGGCATTTTCGGAATTCGATCTTACGTTATAAGTCAGTGTAAATTTGAATAAACCAAATATTAGGCCTGTTTATTTGAGGAAGTGAGGAGGTGGTGAAGAAAGATCTTGTTTTGAGGTTGCAACTTTCGAACATTTTGAATGTCGACTAATAAACAGCAGTCCATCTTATTGTACGTCCCGCCAAGGTAATTGAGTCTCCCAATTATTATTATCACAACGCATGGTACAGTAACATTAACAAATAGTCAAACAAATCCTTTTAAAAATCCGTAATCCCAAATATTCCAAACTCCCTACGAATACAGATAAATCTGTATATATTATGACAACACTGGTCGCGCTTGATAGATGCACGCGCGACAGCTTGGAGGGACGTACGTACAATAAAGGTGATTCGTACATCACTCAGCAGCTCAGCACCGTAAGCGTAGCAAACGCCGTACGCGCCGCATTTACTGACCACATACGCACCGTAAGCAAATCTTTAGTATCGTTAATATCTTTAGTTCCAACAACTTTTGCAGTTTTTTCTAACTACTGGTATGTAACCGTACAGTTACATTGATTAAGCTATGAAAAAAAAAGTTGTAATAGTCTGCTAATTGGCATATTATATAGAAGAAAATAAAATTCGAAGAAAAAGAAGATTCTGGATTCACAACAATCATTTAAAAAGGCAGTTGCAAGTCTTGTCTGACAAATCATCGTTGCCTTCAGTTGTTAGTGTGTTAGTAGAAGTAAATACTCCTAAAATGATATATAAATAAATTTCGAACGTGTAAGTGGCTGAATAGTTAAGTGATCATCTTGCTACTAATGGAAACTTAATTCTTCTGTACCACTGCAAAAAACATCAGCCACTAAAAGCAATATCCACTAGAATAGTTGAAACCACTAGTTTTAGTGGAAAATCCACAAGTTCGTAACACTATCAGCACACACCGCATTACATGACGTCATTAGCATGCCTCCTTCAATATTCGGATACCTACCGCATTTTATGAAATACTACACGTGCGGTGCGGGTAAAATGTGCGAGGTAAGAGGATCATATTATTTCATACAACGAATTCTAAAATTCGGCGCGTGTTGCGCGTACGATGCTGAGAAATGTGCGGGTCGTGTTTATGATGCTTGATTTCAAAAATGGGTAACTGTTTAACTTCTAAAGAAAGACTCAACCATCTTTTTCTTGCATTCTAATTTTATTTTTTATTAAGATTTTTTTATATTTTTTGATAGCCTTGACTGCGGTAGAATAACTTTTATAGCCTTAACTTATAAGTTAATATGATAACAGTTAGAATTAAGACTAAAGATATTTACCTGTGTGAGTACGCATATGTATGAGCATGGATGCGTGCGAGGGGAATATCTTCTTGCAGTGCGTGCAAGTCTTGTTTTGCGCGCCCTCTGTGAAACGATTGTGACGTTTTGGTGGGGCACTGTTGTTTGATATGGCCAATTCTAGACAATCGACATTGAACGAAATTAAGATAAAAGGGTTCAAACATTGCTAGCCGTATGACGTTTGCAATGCTTCGTTTGAAACGAAAATCCGCGGCGCGAAACTATTATTAAATAAATAATTGTCAAGTGCGGGAAAATTCGAAGCCAGACAAAGCATTCCAAGGTGTTTTTTTTTTAATTTGCATCGAACATAACTGAAGTGATTATCATGAGTGTAGCAAGGTAAGTTGTGATAAAATAAAACAAATGAAAATAATATACAGCGTATACACAGCCAGGCATAGGATATGGGCCTCACGGAATCAGCAAAAATTTTAAAATAAGATAACAGTGACAAGACAAGTTGGCGCCATTGTCGAGAATCAGCCACATACATAACAATCAGTTTTCAGCTATGTTAGGAAATTGATTATTAGTAAGTTCATGGTAACCTGTTAAATTAAAAAATTATTATAAATTACAAAAATTAGCATTTACTGGTGCTATAATTAAATACACATTTGATTATATTAGACACATTAAAGATAGTGCAGTATTTTTTCATTGGTCTACAGGTCGTAGCGATCATGAGGGTTCGAATCCGGGTTGGGCCAAAATCAGTTATTGGAATTTACTGTCAAGACATTTTAGTAGCAGCCCAGAGTCAGGAATTTCTCACCTCCGTGCCTCGGAAAGAAAGTAAAGAAGAAAGTCGGTCTTACATCTGATCTCCAATCGTGTCAGATTGCGTTGGTTCTATTGGATTGAGACTGAAGAAATACAGAGTGCACCTGTGCTTGTACACACACTCCGGCGCAAATGGCTCTGTTGTGATTGGTGGCCGCCGCGACCAAAATTTGGACTAAAGGATATTATTATTACACGTTGCGCAGGCGGATTGGTAAGCGCTGAGGCGATAGCCTCGCAATGATGAACTAACTTTTCTAAGAAATACACAAATCGCAATTTTGAATGGATCATTAGGTCGCCAGGGTCTTATCTCTCAGTCAATAAGGTAGACCGTGTATAGGTGAGGTTAACATTTAGAGAAAAACACACATATTCCCTCTTGCATCCGCAATGCAATATTGATAGCGATATATTATGATTTTGTAATCAATATCGATTTCGGAACACTTAATTTTAATAATAAACCAAGTAGGTTATTAGAAACGCCATTTTGTCAAATTTATTACGCACTAAATCACAATCAAAACCACATTGATCATACACAAGCCTTACAAAGCACTTTTGAAAGTCAAGAAAACCACAATTATTTACATTTTCGCGAATACTACACATTCAAAAAGACTACGTCATTGCTTCAACAAGTCCCTACTGCGAATCATTGTTAAAAGGGATGTAAAAATTAAAACTCAACTGCATTTTGAAAAAGTGTGATACTTCTATTTTCTGATATAAATATAATTTCACTTTGAAGGCAAAGCAAAATAAGTGCCTTTTGGTTATGGTTATTTAACTTATATTTTATAGTAAGCAATTTTTAATCATATTTAATTAAGACTGACCTGTCTCTGTGTGCGTACTCTGTATATGCCGTACCCATTCTGCGGGGTTGGGGAAGTGCTTCTGGCATAAATCGCAGCGTAATAAAGCCATTGTTTCTTCCGTATCGTCGCTCTGTAAAAAATACGATAAAAAAATGAAATCGTGATTTCTAGAACTACTACCAATCTCTATAGCACATTTACTAAGGTGAACAACAGGCTTGTTGATTTAAAAACGTAAATATGTTTGCTGCGGAACGGAATCCATTGCAAACTGTTTTTTTTTTGTTAAGATTGAGTAAAGATCGGTAAGAAATGCAAGCAGTGAATCCCGTAGGTGACGTAAGAGGAGGAAATGAAACAAGAGATTGTCAGCAGCATCTTCCTGATTGACAAACCGCGGAGTGATGCTTGCGCTTGCGGGTGCGTGTGCACTGACGGCGGAGTGATGCTTGCGCGGGTGCGTGTGCGTGTGCACTTACCGCGGAGCGATGCTTGCGCTTGCGCGAGTGCGTGTGTATGTGTGCGTGTGTGTGCCTGCACTGACCGCGGAGTGATGCTTGCGCTTGCGGGTGCGTGTGCGTGTGCACTGACGGCAGAGTGATGCTTTACGCGGGTGCGTGTGTATGTGTGCGTGTGCGTGTGTATGTGTGCGTGTGCGTGTGCACTGACCGTGGATCGATGCTTGCGCTTGCGCGAGTGCGTGTGTATGTGGTCGTGTGCACTGACCGCGAAGCTTGCGCTTGTGCGTGCACTGACCGCGGAGCAATGCTTGCGCTTGCGCTGGTGCGTGTGTATGTGTGCGTGTGGGGCACTTACCGCGGAGGGATGCTTGCGCTTGCGCGAGTGCGTGTGTATGTGTGCGTATGCACTGACCGCGGAGCGATGCTTGCGCTTGGGCGGGTGCGTGTGTATGTGTGCGAGTGCACTGACCGCGGAGCGATGTTTGCGCTTGCGCGTGTGCGTGTATATGTGTGCGTATGCACTGACCGCGGAGCGATGCTTGCGCTTGCATTGGTGCGTGTATATGTGTGCGTATGCACCGACCGCGGAGCGATGCTTGCGCTTGCGCGAGTGCGTG